AACTTTTTAATTTAAAAATTAAAGAAACTTTTATTAGAAGTTGATTTCCACTACAGCCCGACAAAACATCAATAGCATGCTTTTGAATTCAACTTAAAATAATCTTGATCTGTTTTCAAGAATTTGTTGTTCTATATTTATCAACTTAGACTTAGTTCAATTAATGTGCTTTTTTGTTATATTTTAAAGAAAAAAATCAACAGCGAATCAACTAACTGAAAAAAAATATATATTGCTCACAAGTTTCAGTTTCAATAATTTTTGAAGAAAAAACTACAAGTACCAATTAGTTTTTCTCAGATAATTGTCTAGACCTTACACAAGCAAATTGAATTGGACTCGAATTTTCAAAAAAATTAAAGAAGATTCACAATCACTTTTTCAGAGCAACTGAGCAGTCAAAAAAGTATGATACAAAGGTGGACAAAAATACTCTTTAATTGGTTCTTCTGAGAAGTACTTTTAGCATACATAACAATTTGCTTTCCAATGCAAAAGATTAAAATTTGTTTTTGTCTTACCAAAAGATTTGTTCTTTTAAATTTGAGATTTGAAGTGATGTGCGTATCGGCGAATTATCTCTAGGACTTATTTGAATTACCAATTCAATCATGCAACTTTTTAAACAAAGCAAATTGAGCCTCTATTGTGTTTTTCTAAATGAAAAATCAGTTGCCACTATCATTGCCCACATAATTATAGCTGCTCTGAAATTTTTAATCAATTAGAATGATGATTTTAGATAGAATTTTTTTTTTTCAAAACTGACTGAAGTTATAACTTCCTCATCTTTTTTACAGCTATTAAAAATATTTGAAAGATAAATTTGACGGAACGTTTTTAACCCAAATCAAAAGTCAATATGCTTTCGCAATCAGCGTAAAGATTAAGTTTCCTTTTTATAGGGTTGAAATTTAGTGAATAACCAGATTGAACTCAACTAATTGGCACTTGATTGGACCAAAAATTATTCCATTTTTAGTCTAGCTGACTCTTCCAACGAATTAGTACCTACGAATAATATTTACAAATACAACCTCGATATTTGTTACTGATTGAGAGAACTGCAAAATGCGAATACTTTCAGGTGCAAAAAAAACGAAGTGATTATGATTTTTTTCAATTTTAGAGGTTTTTTTAACACTTGTTGATAGGAAAGCAAACTCTATCGAACAGAACAAGTGTAAAAGTCATTTAAAAAGTGAATAAGTTGTAGTTTCGAAATTAGATTTTAAGTTTCTGAACTCCCAGTTAAACAACAAAATTACCTATTGATCTAATTTTTTCTAACTGGGAAAACTGTAAGAAAAAAATGACAATCATATGCAATTTGTGGAAACCAAATGATTTTAATGTGATGTGTATTTTTAAAATTTAAAAGTTAAAAAATAATCAAAGTTTTCAATCAACTTTTTTTAGCTTCCTTGAATTCTTCTACGCGTTTCCAACCTTCTCTTGGCTATATTCTATAATGGCTATAAAGACAGCAAGATCGTTCAGGCTTTGTAGGAATTTGACCAAACTCTCGTCAATAGCACAAATCTGAACAATCAATGATACCTTTATCAAGTTTTTGTTAACTTTCCTGGACTTTATTCTCAAGCATAGATTTGAACTATCAAAACGAAGTGGAAAGATATTATGCGCTTGGCATGTTATTCCAAACATGAATTACCCCATAGGATCAAGTGTAATATCATATTGAAACTCTTATATTAGTACTTAGGAACCCAACAAAATAATTAAATTTTCCTAAAATTTTGGTCTGAATATTTGTATTTTACACCTAAATTAGACTAAAGTTCAGAGATTGATTTCCCCACTGCACTACAACTTCAACTTTTTTAAAATTCACTATTTTATTGTTATTCAAGTGATTGTTGCCTCGTGTTCTGCAAATTTTGAGCTGATTCAGTCGCCCTTTATCTTTTACCACAAACATTTAAAACTAACAGTCTAAAATTAACTTCGAAAAACCTGTTTCAATTAACGAACACATTTAAAAATTTGGGTTTTAAAAAATTTTTTTGCCAGTTTTTTTATAATAAATTCTAAGAAGCTTTTTTCAATGACAATAAGCAGTCTTTTCAATGAAAAGTTTCAGAAAATCATTTGATTAATGCATGATTATTATATTTAAAAAATTAGTAATTATAATATCTTAACTTTCGAGGTTGTACAAATTACAATACCCCTTTGGTATTATTTTAAATCTACCATATTTGGCTGACCTACCTTACAAATTTTGTAAAGGCTCCAATACAAACTAAGTTTGAGGGGGAGCCGCGCGCCGAAAAAGTTATCAAAAAGCTACAAGGGTTGTCAAGTGAGGTTTAAAGTTTTTCGAAAATATTTAATCAATAGTTGTGCTCGAGTTGGTATTTTTGTGGACCAATTTCGGTGAAAGTTTCGACAAAAGCTGTTTATACTTCACTTGACCACATATTCGTTGATATGAGATAAATTAAATTGATTTTTTATCTGCCATAGTTTTCTGAAGGAGAAAAAAATTTAAGGTATATTCATATTAAAGTATTTTTAGGTGAAATCTTAAATTTTTTGTTCACGCTTAATTGTATCTATTGTGGTTTGGTTTTTTCATGATTTATTTAATCATGTTTTCTTAATTAAATCGGAAATCGCAGTCGGAAATCGCTAAGAGTTTTGACCTGGCACGAGCAGTCTTGTGATGTCAATTTCTCTGAGACAGGAGCATAATTTATCGACGATCTCCTCATGTGGAGTGTTTAGAATGACTCGTATTCAGTCGGTCTTTCACCAGCCAGACTTTATTACTTACATTCGTCCAATTTTCTCTACTAAGTACGAGTCGTTTTCATGACAATGCCAAGTGTCGGAGAGTACGTTTCACAAGTGATAAAAACAAAATGATTAGGCATAAAAACAAATCACTTGTTTGTGTTTCAAGTGTTTTAGAGAATGTTCAATCATTAAACATGCACAGTTTTTACAACTTATCACCATCATAAAATTCGCAGCTCATTTAGCTAGTTTGTTTTGTCTTCTGAGCACAAGTTTAATAGAATTTATTCACTTACATTTATTGGTTAGCGTGCTAGAGACCGCTGTAAGCCTAGCAGAGTATTATAAAAATCAATCCCTGGCATATAAAATTTGAGACATAAAATCTAAGTGTGGTTCAAAACCACATTTGACAGCCCTTAATTTGTCTGGTCATTTTTAGTATCAATAAGCATTTTTAGTATCAATAAGTGAATACTTTGGTTTGGGTCTTGCTGTTTTCGGCATTTTTTTCATAAAAAAGTCTTCAACTTTGTTCTCGCGAAAAACTTAATTGACATAAGAAAAAAGATTTCCGGCGGAACAATAGTTATCTACTGATGCACTTTTCTCAACTTGGATTAGTTCTCTTCATAAGTTTTCTAACAAAATTGATTCTAGGAGTTCAATTATTTTCAACATGATACATTTTTTCTTTGAAACACAGAAGGTTTGAATATTCGAAAAAAATCAGCTTCTTTTTGGTTTTCTTGAGTTTCCTGACCCACTTTTAACTAACTTCTAATTATTCAAAATCGACTTTGCAAATGAAATTAGAAACAATTTCACCAGTTCAAGAAAGATAGCGTCTTTGTAATCAAGCGTCTTTTTGTCGCGTCTATCAATAAGATATCAGCCACCTTAAAGATATCAACCATGTCTCACTAAAACTGTTCCAAAAACTGTTCGAGCTCTTAGTTTTTAGTAATAAAACTAACATGAGTGACTTTTTTTGGCTATAACTTGTACGGCTTGTAATTTTTACATCAATACTAAAAACATTCAGGTGAAACTCCTAAACTGAGGGGAATGACTCATTATTTCTGACAATGATGTCAACTGCAAGAACCAAAAATGATGATATAGTTTTTGAATGATGCCAGAACAATTTTTCAGTTTATGCAGAAGTGGATCTTGGATTTTCTCTAGGGGGGATTGAATTTTAAAAAAATGATTCAAAATTTTGTCGACCTTTTTATAGGTCGACCAAATAAAAACGAAAAAAAAACAGGTCATAAAAGCCGTTTTTGGCACTTTTTAGGAAAATTTTGACCAAAAAATTGCGTTTTTGTGGCGCGCGCTCTCCTTCAAAGTTGGTACATATATTGGCGCCAAAAAGTGCTTATCATAATATTTCATTGCCCAAAAAAAATATGAAAATATTGATGAGCAACTTTTCCATACAATGAAAGTAAAAGACTAAATTATTACAGACATCCTGTACTTTAGTCAGTGATAAACGAAAAAAGTTGGCGAGAAAAAAGCTCTTTTTATGAATTCTATGAAACCAAAACAACCTCTAAATTAGTTTTTTTTCTGTCGGGGATCATAACTTTAACGCTTTTAAGCGCAAAACGGTGTATTTCTAAACAAAAAATTGTGGTCAAAATTTCTGAAATTGTTGCCATAGCTCTCGCGATTACTTATTTTGGATTCAAAATGGTTTTTCTCCATTTCATTTTTCTGGAAGTTTTTTTTTGTTACCCGCTTTCCCACTCTTAGTTTTGAAAAACAGTTTACCGCGTTTCATGTCAAAATATTGAGACTTCTCTTGGCGCTCTAAGATACCCTCAGGGTAGTTTCTACATTAAATCAAAATATTAAACTATCCTTAACTCCCTAGAGCGTATATCACAGCTTCCATAGCTATTTTGATGTTGTCTCGAAAACGCTTTTTCGGCGTGCAGAAAACCTTGTAATTTTCACTCAAAATATCGCTGGAACAACAATTTGTGCTTAATCAACTGTGCACAAAATGAAAACTTCTGAAATTCGTTTCATTTCTGAATAATTCTCGCAAAGGTGTTTTACTCTATTTCCTGTTAAATATGTCAACATTGTCCGTTATTGTCGAAGTTTGAGTTGTTTTCAATAGTTGAGAAAAATGGATTTAATTCTCAAGAAGGTGGGAGTTTAACCAAAACATGAGTTGCGCCAGTCGAAGTATTTATTCAAATCACTTTCAAAATTTTGTTGTTTTAGTACCAGATATCGTTGTGCTTAAGTCTAATCCCTGAGTGTTTATTTTGGTACCATAACAAAAATATTAACAAGGGGAGATGGTGTGCTTTTATACACTAGAATTAAAATCTTCGACTTCGAAACTCATTCAAAACGCCGCTCAGGCAGTGACTTTTTGATGAGTTTTTGCTGTAGTTTCAACCTGCGTTCTGAAGTTGACTTGGTCTAAATTGGATTATAGCTTCAAGGCACCTTTGAGAACCACAATACTTGCACGTATTCTTGTCAATTAAGCCTTGTTTTACATGAAACGGTGCGTGATTTTCGTGTTTTCTGTTTTTAATGAGGCTGCCTTTTTTAATTATTTGTCGCACTTTTCGGCTCTTAAGGCAGACTTAATTCGAAAATTAGCGACTAAATGTGCAGTCAACGAAATTAATTCACAGCATGATTAAAAGAACAACAAAATAAGTTTTGATTAAAAACTCCAAGAGTGATTTTAAACGTGTTTTATGTTTTCTAAAGCTATAATTTTTTTTCGAATCGGCGACAAGCCGTAAAAACTCAATGACTTTTGTCGGCCGTCAATAAAACATGTAAGCTCACTAACCATCGATATTTCAATGGTGTAGATCTGGTTTCTTACCACCAAAGTTGTTCAATTATACAATTTTGAGCCGGTATTTGGTCGCACTTTTAATCAAAAATCAACAAAATACATTACAGTATACTCACAGAAGCAAAAAGACGTGGTAATACCGCCTACTAGAAGAACTCTTGACTTGTGATTGATAATATTCAATCGAAAGTAAAAGAAATTCATCAACGAATCATAGTTATTCAAAAAGTTATTTATATTTTAGTTGACGTTGTTTGGCTTTGGTACTATTATCATCAGTCAAAACTACACTTGCTTATCAACGATTTTTCTGCTAAAATTCCTTTGCCCTTTGATATCCGATCTTACTTCACGCTTCGGTTAGATAAGAGTACATTTTTATCTACTAAATTTTATTATCGGCTTGGAGTAACAATCAAAACTTTATTGTTTTTACTATTTATTTCTAACACCAGTGGATAATAACCAGGCTTTACCAACCAAAAAAATTGCTTTTTTTCATCTCCATTTTGGAGTTTTGGCGTGAAATTTGAATACAAAAAATGGGCAACAAAGTTGGTGCCTTGCGAAAATTTTCAACTTGCGCAAACTCTGAATACGATTTAGCCGCAAAGTACAACAAAAACAACAGCAACAACAACATCAGTAAAAAAGTTGGACGGGGAAAACACAAAAGTGGCGACGGAAGCATCGAATGTGAAATTCACATTTTCAACCACCCTCCCTCCCCCTCTCCGAATAGCCCAAATTTATCACCCTACGCTTGGAACAACGATAACCAAACTCTTCCAGCGGTAATAGCCAGCTTCTACCAAAACCAGCAGACTATTTTTCAAGATGAAACTGATATTCTCTCAAAAATTGGGGTTCTCTTGAACTCGGCTGACCTCAACAAGAAACTTCAGGAAAACTTACAAACTCAAGATGACCCTTTGACCTTGACAGTGACCCAAGGTGACCTGTTCTGTGCAAAATACGACTACAACCCGACCAAGAGTTCTATGAACTCATTCCTGGACGAGAACGAGCCAATTTTGAACTTAATTCGAAACGAGTTCTGCCTTCTACTCGATCAGCACCTGATTGACAGGTAAAACTGCCATATTTTTCTTCCTGATTGACAGGTAAAACGCCAAATTTTCGAAAATGCAATAAAGATTCGAAATAATCACGCTAAAGAAGATTCAAAAAATCGATTTGTTTTGGCCTCTCTAGTTTTGGGAAAACGATCTCAAAAGTTTTTTGTGTGCTTCTTTTTTTTTGCATCTGGAAAAAATAGACAAAAAATCCGTCATATGCTGTTGGAAAATCCGCTCTAATTGCAATGAGTCTGATGTGACACCAAATCGAGAACTATTTATCGAATAAAATATTCAAAAACCTATTTAAGTACATTGGTAGGTTAATTTGAAGCTAGCTGTTTTTGAAATTCAATCATTTTTGTTCAACAGGAACTGGGTCAAAATTGTGAACAAAAAAGGCAAATCTGGCTGGGTGCCTGTCAACTACCTCATACCCGTCAAAGAAGTCACCGAATCTGTCAACTGGTACCACGGGTTGCTATCCAAAAGCGGAGCAGAGGTCATTTTAACCAACGGGGTCAACGGAAGTTTCCTAGTTCGTGAGAGTGAAAGTTCACCGGGAAAAGTCACGCTTTCCATGCATTTCGACGTGAAAATTTACCATTATAGAATTCTAATTGATCACGCCGGCAAGTATCACATAAACATGGAGAAAGCGTTCAATTCGATTTATGATTTGGTGCAATATCACACTGTTAATTCCGATGGGCTAATTTCGAAGTTACTATTTCCGGTACCATCGCAAGGAGCTTGTACACAGTCGCCAATTCAAAGCCAGCAGCTGTTGTGCTCTTCATATACTTGGAATATGCTCAGAAATTGGCTAGCAGAATCAATTGTGAAAAATTCTAACAGTACTGCAGATTTATATTCAACAGCTTCACCTGATATGTATATATCATGTGGCGAAACAGTAGAAAATCAATTCAGTGATAAAAGTAGCGAAAAATGCTCGAATAGTACAGAGAATTCGAACGGTGAACATCGCTACGAAAACTACGACGAGGCCATTCGTAACTGCAAGCCACAGTTGATTTTCCCGCCGAATCAGCCAGAGTCGAGCGAAATGCGAGTAATCATTTCGGATTTGAGACTTGCAACATTGTGAATATAAGTAAAACTATTAAAAACCGACGTAAATTTTGTGCTAAAACTGATAAATTGGTATGAAAAGACATATTGTCGCTTAGAATAATTATTTTGATAGAAATAATTTTGTAAAATTATGAAATTTAAAAACAAAACGAATTCGATATTCAATTAACGTTACATATAAGACATTTTAAAAATTTCTCAGCTGTCAGATAATTACTGAGAACCAGGGGCGGATCTAGAATTTTCTCGAGATGGGGGGGTCGAATCCCTGAGAGAAAGGGCGTGTGCTCCCCCCTAAATCCGCCGCTGCTGAGAAACACAGAGAGGAAGGACTAGCAGCAGAACAGTTCAGCTCTTTACCAAGAACTGCTAATATGGCCAATAATGCTCTATGAAAATTTTCAAATTAACTCGATTATACTTAATTTCGAGTATATGGGATTAATCATACTGAAAAATGCAGAAAAACATACCGAAAAGCACAATAGTTACGCGTTAATTATCTCAAACATGTATTGACCGGTAACTAAGCCAAAAATACTCGGGTAGACGCCAGTTAAAAACAAAAATTGACAAAATATCAGGAAAAGTCTGGGATATAGAACTTTTAATTCAACTCGTATTTTCTTTTAAATAATTCAAATGTTAGGTGATTGGGCCAGAAATAAAATGCAATCCCAAAACATTTCAACTGAAAAAGGTTAAGGGAAATAAACAAAATTAGGGTTGATGAAATTACATATAACAGAGTTATATCAAAAAAACTTTTAATAGTAGTGCAAATAGCAAAAAAACATACCAAAATTCTACGTTGTTCTAATTAAGCATACAAATAATAAGCATACAAACATTAGCTCACCTGCAGTGAGGTTCCATGGATCAAAATCAATTTTTGCGGTCAAAAATGTTGCAATTATAATCGAATATAATTGCGCTTTGTTACCACGCAATCGACTATAACACATTAAAATACAAAGAAATTGATTATGATCCATTCAAAGTTCATTAAAATGAATTATAAGAAATCTCTATAAATTTCTTCCAAATTTTCTGCAATTTTTGCAGACTTTCTTCATTATCCACAGCCTACTCGATTTCTAAACCTACTCACATTTAAACAAATTTAGCGAAAACATATCTTTTACACTTTCAACCCAGGTTTTCTCAATTTCAACACGCAAGTCAAACAACCCCAAATTTACACCCCCCCCCATTTATCGGCACACCTACAACCACCTCCACCTATCCCCCCACCACCTACCCCCCACACTTACCCCTCTTACACACACACCTAACTTCCCTTCTCCTACAACCACTTGACAACCCCCGTAAGTTGGGGGGAGGTAAAGGTCTATAGGGGTATAGAGGTGTGTATGTGTGAACGGGGGTGAGGGCACGTATTTACGGTATTTTTCATTTTTCACTTATTTTTATGGTTAATGTAAATTGGGGATAAATGGTAGTGGCAGGGAGAGGTTGAAGTGAAAGAAGGAAGTAACAAGTGTGTGAATTAGTGTAGGTTTTTAGGGTCAAGAAGAGACAAATAGAAAAAAAACAGTTAGAATACAAAACAAATTTTTGCAGTGGCCAAATGTAAAACACAATTGTGCAATTGAAACGTTCAAGTTTTGAAGATTTACTTTCAAGATTTTAGAAAATCAAGCTCTTACTCGTAAAAATCTAGTATAATCCATTATAATCTATTATAATCTTTTATTGTCAATTATAATGGATTAAATTGATTTCTACTTTTTTTGATTTATAATCGATTATTCATCCATTTTAATAGAATGTTTCAGAATTTAATGAAGACAGACCTTGAGAATTTTTTTAAAATTGATTTTTTATCCATGAAACTTTTATTGCGTGCAACTATTTTTTACATTAAATTGCAAGTATGCGAAAAAAAGGTCCCGACCGGATTCGAACGCAATATCTTTGACATCTGAAGCATCGAAGTTGTTGCTGCGACAAGTGTGCCAAGGAAGATAAACAAAAATCTGTTCTTATTTTAAAAAGCGTGCTAATCAAGAGCAAAAATATACTTTAAATTCAAATATTTGAAAGACTCATAATCGTTTGTTTTTCGTTCAAACTGTTCTTTCAAAAGTAAATAAACTTTTCCATTGCTTTTTTCTCTAATTACAATCAATTTATTTAAAACGAAGCAAACCTCAATTTTTTATGCATCTACTAAAACTATGTAGCCTTCTTTTGATTAGTAGCATTCATTTGATGTATATTGTATCATTTGCAAAAAAAAAAGAAAAAAATTTACAGCTTGTTTTTTTTTTCTGTCAAACTATTGATAAAAGTCAACAAATATAGACCAAATGTGGATCCCTAAAGTATTTACCAATTAGCGACGTTCTCAATAGTTTTGCATTTTATCATTCGGTTGTCTGCTACGTAGTAGTCTGTCAAAATATTCGATTTTTTCCAAAACTAATTCGATACAAATTTTTCAAATATTTAATTGCGATTTAAGCTGTTAAACGTTTCATAAAAATTTACAAAAATAGCGACACAATAATTTTGAGCTCATTCAATTTGCCCATAATTTCAGTAAATTTAATCCAAGGTTGAAGAAAAGAAAGTACTTTCTTAAACCGATATTGATCTGGTTTGATTATTTTTAACATGCGCATGTAAGCTCTTTGCCATTGAGTCTTGATTATATTATAAAAATTTTTTGGAATAGTTTTGGGAGAGGGGCAATTTTGGTCGTTTGAAAATTAACAAAAACTTTTTGTGTTCAATCTCTGCTAGTTTTTTCAACTAATTTCGTCTTCTTCGATTGTTTTTTTTTCTGATTATTTTTGGTTTTCCAAAAAATTATAAACAATTTTTACCCTAAATGCGGCTTTTTTATTTCAGCTCATAAATTTATCAGTTTATTGCAAGTGACTGAGTTATAGCAGACTTTAAAATAATACTTATTTTACCAGTACGTTTTGAATGAAATTTTTCACCAATGTTTGCACTTTTTTGACTTGAGTTTGACTTGTGAAGCAAACTCATCATAGTTAATACCGTCAATTTGATTATGATCTCAATTCATTTCTTGAGGTGAATTTTTGAGTTTTTGATTCACTCAAAGCAGAATCTTACAAAAATTGTCTTGTTGATATAGACTTTGAATTGTGGATAGGCTTCGTTTTGGATTTTTCACTCTCGAAAAAAATTATTACAGCTTACCAGCTAGGCAATAAAATAACTAAGCGTAAAATCCATTGTAAGGACGGAAATGTTTTCAACTGAGATAAAATAGATAACAAATTTCAGATGTCGATTTCACTTTAGTTGGCTCAAACTCACTCGCACATCATGAAAACTATGCAGTTCTTGTTAATTTTTCAAAATATCCCAGCTTTCATCAGGATAAATTTTGACGTTGAAATCATCAACAAACAAAAATTTATGATTTCAATGTCCTATTTTATTTATCAGTAAATCAATATTTGAAAAAAAAATGTATCTTCAATGAGCAGGATGTCTGTAAAAAGCATATCATTGTTTAAACTTTGGTCTCATTGAAAATGATCAAAAGAACATGGACTATATCATAATAATAGCTACATCATATTACGATATTAATATAGAAGAGAATTAGTATATGGGATTTATTTTGGTGGGCCATCAAATAATTTCTGATTTCTTTTAGAAATGAACTTCGGCGGATAGGTGCTTCTGGCCTCTTGAGTGTCAGAAAAAAATTCTTGGAACAATAGATCAGATCTTAATTATAAAGCTGAAAAGTATCTTTTTTTGTAGCAGCAGAATCTTTGAATTTTTAAAACTACGCAAATTCAAAAGTTTTACTCAACGCCCTTTGTAGACAACCCGTACAATAACTTTTCTCTCCAATGAACTTGGTCGTTTTGCCTTTAACGTATTACAATATTTTTTTAAACATGTTTTCCTTTACTTTCGCTAACTGCACCAGCTTTAAAACAGCATGCTACAAACAGCATGTTTTTTACTGAATTAGATCAAAAGTTACATTTGTAACTCCATTAGTTCATTCCTTAGTAATAAGAAAATCTGTACTCATGATTGAAAGTTATGTTTTTTGAGATTTTTTTTCAATTAAACCGTGATTTTTTGAAAAAAAAGTTTTGGAGTTTTCGCTGATGGCGTAGTTTTGTTTTCTGAAAAATGCGAATTCATCTTATAAGATTGAGATCAGTTTATATCAAGCTTTTAATTTGTTGTTTATTTTCATACTTCTGTCTTAACTTCCTAATATTTGTTTGTTTACAAAATCAACCTAAACCACAATCAATTTCATTTGAAGATAATTTTAGAAAGTTAGTGTCGATACCGAAGTATTCTAAATTACCCTTACGAAATTACTCGTATGTTGAAAAAGAGTTTTTTCAATCAAATTTATCGATTTCTGGGTCAAATTTAAATAAAAGTTTTCTCGCTAATTTTTCAAGCGCATTAACTTTGAATTATTCCAAAAGCTCTTCAGTAAAAAAGTTGACCATAAATTCATCGTTACTGCCAAATAACTTAACACAAAAATCAAAACTATCCATAAAAGATATTTCAGAACTATTTATCTATTATAACAAAAACATGTGTCAGATGATACCAAAGATGAATAGAATATTGATTATGATTCCTTCTCGAATTAGCAGTTACCATCGAAGGATTTTTATACGTCAAACTTGGGCAGATTTAAGAAAGCGCGACCTCAAATTGAATTACACGATCATATTCTTCGTAAGTAGACGAAAATAGAATAAAAATCCATTAAAAATCAAGCTATTTTTGTTCCAAGTTTGGCCCAAGAAATCAAAATATTTGAGTTTTTTAAGGCAATGGTTCGAGACCACTATGAGCTGTTTTCGATCGTTATGACGCAACAACATGGCATTGACTATACAAGGATAAGTATGAAGAAAAAATATTCTTGTCATGGCCTAATAGATTAGCCCATATGCCAACTTGTTAGACCTCTACAGATTATCACATTTAAGATATGATTTATTAATAATCGGAAGTTCATCGTTAAAAAAAGAATATCAAAGGTAAATTAGACTTGTTAGTTTTTTTTCCGCTTCAGCTCACCTATTTAGCTTTCTTCTTCGAAAACTTTGGTTGGTCACGATGATAATTTTTCCAGGTTGGCAAACCGGAAGGAGCCAATCAACGGGCATCATTAGAAGCGGAAAAGTCTCTTTTCGGAGATCTAGCAATTCTAACGTTAGCCGATGTTTATTATGACCTTACGAGTAAAATGATGGCCCTGTTCTCATGGGCCGAGCACTTCTGTCGCGATGCTTTTTTCGTATACAAAGTCGACGACGACGTTTACTTGCATTTGGAAAATATGGAAAAGCGAATACAGTTCATAATCAAAAAGGTGAGGCTGTTGTTGAGTCTTTCTTTCATTATTTCCTCTCGATTGTGATGGACATCTTTAGGCGTGTGAAGTGAACGGTTTTTTTAATTTAAATTCATTTATGTTGACAAATATAACTTTCGTTTTTCGCAGAGAAGATTTAATATCTCAAGAATTTAAAAAAATGGAAAATTAGTTAGAAAAACTAATGAAAGCTGAGAAAATAATCAAATATTTTGGACTAAGAATAAGTCTTCATAGCTGAACAATAATAAAAAATCTTGGACTAAGAATAAATCTTCATACTTGTTTTGAGATTTTTTGACTTTGATTTTTCAGCAGTCTTTCAGTAGATCCTTATATGGAGGAAGATGTCACAAATATCCTTTAATTGAACGAGAAAAGAAGAGCAAATTCTATGTCTCATACGAGGAAAACAACTCAACTTTCTTCCCTCCTTATTGTGAAGGTCCCTTCTACTTCATGTCGGCTCATTTAGCTTTCGACTTAGCCAGGCATTGTTGGGATCTCCCGTACAACAAATTCGAAGATGTTTTTGTGGGTGCATGCATTAAGTTTGTTCACCCGGAAACAAAGTTTTTGAACATTTCTCGCAAATTCATGCGTTTCGAATTTAAACAGGAAAACAAAGCAAAACATCAACGGCCATATAAAATAGACAAGATTCAACCAGGATTCGGTAAATTATCAGTGGCACTGCATTCTATGAATACAAACCAAATGTTGAGACTTCATCAAAAGTTAACCAGCAACAAAATATCAGGGACAGAAAATACCATCAAGTTTTACTTACAGGAACTGAGCAAGAAAGCTTTTGTGTTCAAAAACAATACCTGAAGAAGCGGCTAGGATTGCACCATAATTTCTTTCAATTAATGCAATACTGATTCAAGTTGAGAAAATAATTTTTAGAATTTCTTTTAATAATAATTTACCGAGGTCGAAAAGAAATTTAACAAAAATGTCTTTTTAGCGACTCATTGACAACTCAAAATCTGAATTTGGTTAGTCTTGGTTGTGGAAATCTCAGACTAGGAGATGTATTTAGCCAACAATAGAAAAAGCTAACATGTCTGAAACAGAAAGTCACACTTTGAAATGGAGAAGAACAGGCCAAATAATCGATAACCCAAGTTTCGAGGGATTTATTTAGCCAAACCAGTCAACGAAAAAAAGAGCCCAATTAGTAACTAGTTATCTTAGATACTTGATCTTGCAAAGCTAGGCAACAAAAAATGTAAAATTTACAAAAAAGCAAAAACATAAACAAGGATAGCCGGTTACTGTGAATTGATTCAAGAAAAGTAACTCAAAAATGGAAAAGATTTAGAAAAAATTGATTATTTTGCAAATTTTCTCATCTAAATTTCGTGTTTTTTTTTCAAAAAAATGGGTAAAATTAGGCAAAAAGCAGAAAAAGAATGATCTTGTGCGGGCTCGCCTTTTATACTAGTAGAAATCAAGCCAAAAGAGGTGAAATATATACAAAAAGGTACATACAAAAAGCAGACTTTAGGAAAGATGAAAGTGATCAAAATCATCAAAACTTCCCACATAATTGATTAGATCCGAGCCAGGAGTGATCAACTTTGAACAATTTCTGATCGAACATGCCATGGTTTTGATTAGAAATAGACCAGGACTTAAGACAAATTGAAAAAATTGAACCCTCGAGGAACTGTGAAAAATTAGTATTCTTTTAAAAAGTAATTGAGTGCTTACAGTTCCTGGAAATTTTTTTAAAACAAATAGTGCAATCAGGTAAGCCTTTGAATGTTCTGTTACTTTTTTTCTTTGGCGTTCAAAATGATAATGATGTCAAAAGATTGTAGCAAAATCAATAAAAAACAACAGAGCTTATTTTTCATTAGAAAATGTATAAATAAAACTATATCATCTAAAAAGACTTCAAATTTTAACTAGACTTAAAGACTTCAAATTTTAAATAAAAAACACTAGCGAAAACACGACAAAAAGCAGCTCTCTAAAGTGCACAAAGAAAAAGTAGAAATAAGCCTTGAATTAGTAAAAAATCGGATACGTCTCGGACTCGAGCCTACGACTAGCAGCGACCTAGAGATTATGAATCTCACGCACTAACCACTTAGCCACGGAAGTTTCATTGATGACAAACACCAGCCACAAATAAAGCAGAGAACAGATGCTGTGCAATTTCCAACGATACAGTGAAATTTGCCATTTAAGTTAACACTAATTTGCGAGTTAGAATAGAAAAAAAGAAGGTTCGTATTAATAGACTACCCTGATCGCAAGTGTAAATAACTAAAATTCTGGTCTCAAAGCTCGCTTAAAAAACGTAATTCAATGGGAAAATTTTGTAATACCAGAAACTCTTAGCTTAAAAAGTCATTTAAAAAACTAAAATTCATTCTTGTTATTTTTCTGCATCATATGCATTTTTATTATTGAAGATCATAATTTTCCTGTCAATCGGTCAACACATTTGAACTGACTTTTAGAAGACTCAAATTCAAAGCGCTAATAATCAATTTAAGCTCAAAAAAAATTGATGAAGATACTTTCCGGAAAAGAAGACTAACTGTCTTGACTAATAATACATAACTTCGTTCATTAACACCAAGCAGTGAACTAACCAGGAATATATTGTTGCTAGTGACGCAGTATTTTCATTTTTTCAAGGGACGCTCAAAAACTGAAAGCCTGAAAAATTAGCTTGTATGCTTTTTTATATCAAATTTTGAAATTTTCGAAAACACTCGTTCTATTTTTGAAAAATTGTAGAAGTAACTTTCGCGTTTGAAACCTTTGTTCAAATTTTGAATCTTTCATAGCATCAGTTTTTTAAATCCAAAAAAAAAACAATTATTAGGAATTTTTTTCTATTCAAGTATTCTGATTACTTCAGATGTCTCTACAAAACAGAGAGGAGTCAATGCATACCAAGCTTTTGAAACACACATTTTTTGAAACCCAAAGTTTTGTTCAAGAAAATATCAAAAAATTTTGCAATCAGCCCATTACTTTTTTTTTCCAATTATTTTTTTTACAAAAAGGCGAAGCTGAGCTTCGCAACATTTGCTATAAACAAAGCCACCGATTACGTATATAGACTCTTAAAAGTAAAACTATTATTTTGAAATCATTCACGTTTTTTCGCACCATTTACACTTTCTTAATCGGAAAACGTATTTTACTTTCCTTTTATCAAATGAATTTGGAATGAAGTTTAAAAACCAAGTTCTATTTTGTTCTCCTGTAAGCAATCTGTCACACAGAGGCGAAGCTGAGCTTCCCGCCACTTCCGACTCAAAAATGATAGATTATGATTGAAATCAAATAAAAAACATTTGAAAAAATACATGAAAAATAGTTTTTGCCTGTCAAAAAATGGCGAAAAAGCCCAATATATTTAAAATAACATTACCGACACAATGAAAAACTTCACGAAGAGTTTTTCCAATGCTCAAAAAGTCAAACTTTCAAAAAAACTCCTTTCTGTGGGAACTGAGTCAGCAAAAATAAGCAAACAAAATCTGAAATAGCCGAAAGTTTTCAATTTGCAAACAAACAGGTCACAACTAGAATCAAAGTCCAGAGCTCTGTCATTTCAAGCATGGGTGTTACAGCAACTAGGAAGAAAACTGAAATTTCAAAAAATCGGGCTACGCGAATCAAGCCGACAAAAATAAGCAGACGGAACGATAGGCCGAAAAACCACAAAAACTCAAGGTTGCAAAAAACCGGTAACGGTCGGATTCAAATCACAAGCCTTTGCCGCCTCAAGCAAGTGCGCTACCTTTTAGACACATGTTCCGGATGGTTGACTGAAAATGAACTTATCATCAGAAACCATGCATTCGAACGAAAACTGAAAACCAATGAAAAAAGAAATTAAACGAAAATTGCTTAAAAGTTTTTTTTTCAAACTGGAAGTTAAAGCGTGTATAAAAATGCGGGTTAAAAAACGTATATGAAAAAGCCTTTCATCGTGTTACTTTCTTCGAATTGAATTTAAAAATCAATTGAATAAAATATTTGAAAGAAAAACACTCGGCAAATAAGCAGACAAAAATTGGACCGAAATCCATGAAGGCTACAAAAAAAAGCAATTTACACGTGAATTTTTTTAGCAGTAGACCCAGTAACGCATCAACTCTAGGCAAAATAACGAGATATAAGATGCAACGTGCTGAAAAAGGAGATCTTATAATTTGAGATCATCCTGTGAACACAGTTGTTTACGGAAAAAAAAGTGTAGTATCCGATTGCAATACTCTTGCTTATAGTAAAGGTAAATGCCAGGAATCTATTGTCTGGCCAGGTCTAATCAAGTCTTAATCAGATCTAGGTCAAATCAGATTTATATTTGATCAGATATGTGGGACGCAAGAAGTCACATCACTGCAGGTATAGTCACGGGACAGAAATTTCAACTTTAAGCTTTCAAGCGATGAAACGAAAATTTTTGTTTCACGTTATCTAAAAAATGTTTCCAGGCATCGTTTCGCTATTTAATCAGAAGGGTGATAGAAGAGTTCTTTTTGTTAAGTTCTCAGAACTTTAGTAAAAGGCCAAAACCTGAGCCGAATTTTATTTCGTAGCGATTCGTTTTTTTTATTTATTTTTAATTAAAAAAAACTTTATACCTTATACGAGAGCCTAGCTCAGATACTTTCAACGATTAACTTTAACTTCAAAGTTTCAATTTGCTTCTACTGTTTAAGGGTACTTTTTGGCACTAAGAACACTTTTCTCAATCCTTCTGATTAAATGTCCAAACGATGCCTTTTAAACATTTTTTGCGGTTTTTTCCGGTCATAGGCTATACAAAACAGTTTCATCCAGCATATGTCAAAATTACAGCCGTGAATCTTTAGTAGTTGCAGAGAAAACGGCACGAACGTGAAAAAAAACTCAGAACTTGGGAATTTTTACAGTGACAAGATCCTGCTTTTGATAACTTACTTCAATTCGAGTAGTCTCTTTTCTAGTGGAATATTGGCTGAAAGGACCAGTTATTAGATCCTTGATTTTAGGCCATTTTGCACTACGCGTTTTAGCCTAGAGACCCAAGGCTTGTTCCGTTATTCCTAAGAGCCCTTAGCATTTGTAGAAATAGCATTGACTAAAACTCGTATTTTCAACACAACGAATAAACAATGCAACATGTACTAATCGCGAAGCACCTCGACAGAAATAATCAAGAAATGCTTCAGCTTTCAAAGAACATTTTAGCAGTAGTTATTCACATAACATCAACATTACAAAGTATTCTCAATTTCTTGGAATATTACAGGGAACACAAATATAGAAATCTGGAAATTATATAGTTCTCAAAGATAATTTCCAGAAATATTCCAGATTTTGTCTGAGATGTTAAAATAATTACTGCGAGTACTTTTCTCGGCTTCGATGAATGCTAACCGTGACTTGAACGAGAAATAAGATAACTTATTTACTTTACTAGATTAATACTCGTCATACATATTACTACCATATTAGAATATAAATCATCATAAATGATAGAATAATAGCAACCCAACGTGTAACAGACCGAGATATTTCATATCTCGAGCTTAAAAGAACTTCAACTTGAACACATTTTTTGATCCAAGTTCTTTCACTGCACCTTCAAAGTTTTTCACGTTTTAAATTTAAGAATCCTTTTTAAATTATGAACGCATCTTGAGTTCCAGATTCTTTTTGAGATGGTGTTTAATAATTATAGTCCTGGTGACCACCTGCTCTTGAGTTGTACATTCTCTGTCTTTCGTATCTGCCCCCATTATTTCCATTCATAGGCACGTTGCGTTGTCTCAGGGGTTCTCGCTTCCCACCGCCTTGTCCTCTCGAAATGTCATCATTCCTGTAACCTCCTGCATGATAGTATGACCCCGTAGTCTGAGAAATGAGTTCACTCACTGGAATCGCATGTCCCGTTGCGTTGTTCATCACCTTCAGGGGTTCGTAGGCTCCAGGCATTGCCGGTATTCCAGCGGGCGGTCGCATGGCTGCTGTATTTCCACTGTAGTAAGGCGAGACACCACCTACAAACAATTCACGTTGACAGGGACAGGTCTAGCATTTAGACCAGGGGCGGTGGCCAATTAAAAAAAAACGGATTTTTTTCGACTAATTTAGATCGATCAAATACATGCACTGAGCTTTCTTGAAACGCGAAAAAAAGCGTTTTCTAAGATCAAAATTGAATTGTCTCATTGAAAGCAGCGATTAATCTAATAAATCAGTTTTTAATTTTAGAATTTCAGTCACCGCGAGCAGACAACTGATCAACCTACAACTCAGCACATCTGAAAACTATCAGCAACATTAGGAAAAAACTGAGAAATCAACACGAGACAATGATATTTGTTTCCAGAAAAGTCCACAACCAACAATTTATCACCAGACAGTTAAAATTAAACAACTTCCGAATAACACTTCTATTTTGTCAAGCAGAATAACAGAAATATATGTGAAAGTAATAATTCCGAATCTTGCACCAACATAAACACTGCTAAAAGTGAAGAGATGCCCGCATCAAAAGCCAAAAAGATACCTTGCGACATGTTTACAAGAAGCGTATCCCTTTTCAAGGATGAGTTTCCTCTAGGATATCCTGAAATTAACTAAAGAGAAGTCGATAAACTTTTGAAACGCATTAAATTGCTGGTGCTTAACTCGATGAGGCCTTTATTATCATTTGACCATCAAAATCAGTTAACCTAAAACTATTCTACCATGAAGTAATTTAAGAAAGAAATTCACTGCAATACGTCACACGCAGGGTTGCATTACTATCTGATTTAGATTCTCGATTGATTTAAATCCGATTTTTATTATTTTACCTTGAGTTTTAATGAAAACGTTTTTGTTTCAAGAATCAAATAATTCATGTGAAATTACTGATTCAGCAATTAACTGCGTCCAAGTTGAAATTATGCGAAGAGTTCCGTAATCAATGTAAATACTGCAGAGCTGCGTTGTAAGTTTACCCCTGCACTCAGCCGGATGACGCAATGAACAGCGCAGTTATTTTTTTTTGATTTTTTTGTTCGATTAAAATCGGATTTAAATCAGGTTGATTTTAATCATGCAACCCTGGTCACCCCTTTCAAATACCTGCCGCATCCGTCTGCTGCTTAATCTTCTTAAATTCCATGAACTCTGCGAACAACTTCTGGTCTGGATAGCCTGCTACCGCCATAAAGGGATTCGGTGCATACTGCGCTGCTGCTGCTGCGGCCATAGCTCCCGCCATACCAGCAGTGGAATGAGCCATCTCATTCTTCGGTCGCTTCCGAAGAGCATTTGTCTCTCGGATTAATTTGAGAGCAGTCGTGGCGTCCTTGCCAGCAGTAAGTTCGGGTTCCCCATGCGCAAAAGTGCAGGAGTCCTCATGATAACAGTAGCCTCGAGACATGAAGTTATTGCACAGCACTGTCTTGTAATTTCCTCTGATTACCTTGAAACATAAATACAAAAAACTAATTCACAGAAGTGAAGGGGAGCTTGGAATCATTTACAATACAGTAGATAGACATGAAAAATTTAATCAGCCTTTAATGATGATGAGACCTCTTCTCTGTCCTCAACAAAAGTATTGCACTCAAGGAAAGAAAAAACTGACATGTTTTTTGAAAACACTTCAACTGTAAGCCCTTGAAGCTCGTTGAATTTCACAGACAATTTAAGTTTGACCCTTTTTGATAAAAATTAACCCAATTTGAAAAAACTGGATCAATTTGTACAATTTTTATTTCGCATGGTAATCTGATCATTGAATTCATTTTCGAAATTAGAAGTAGATCGCATTTTTCAAGACTTTTACATTTTTTCGTTCCATGGGGCAATTTGCCTTCCTTTTAACAAAAGAACTGAGGTAAAACTGAAAAAAGAACTGAGGTAAAACTGAAAAAAAGGCCTATATAAGAGTAATCACTAATTCAATACTCTTAAAAACTACTGCATGCTGACCGAAATAGCAACTAAACCAAAGCCAGCAGAAAGTATCAATGAGATCAAAGGAAGCGAGCTCAAGGAATGCGATTGACAACTTTTTCAGAAAATCCAATTAGAAAAAACAGGGTCAAAAGGTAAACTTAAAATCAAAACACACGATCGATATTGGTCATTCAAGTTTTTTCGCATCGCTTGCACTTTTGTTAATGGAGAGCATAATTGCCTTCCTTCAGTGAAATAATTTGAATTGAACTAAAAAACATTTCTGAAGTCGAACCGTAAAAAAAAATTGATCGCTAAGAACTTTAAACAGAAAAAGCAGAAAAACAACGCGACCTATATATATATATATAAGTGTTTTCACTCCATTTATTGCTCTTCAATTTTTCTTAACTCAAAAAGAAACTATCGACATGTCCTTCAAAATTTTTTCAATGTCAGAATAACCACTCGGCGGAAACTTCCAGCTTAAATGCAAACACGACCATAAAGAAAATGTACACAAGGACACACAGAGGCGAAGCTTCACTTTGCAAAAGCAAGAGTGAGAAAATGCCATGAAGTAGCTATACAAATGTTAAAGAAAAAAAAAGAATTTTGAAAAATAAATTACCTCGATGAGAACCACTGCCTTACGCAACTGTGCTACTGACGCTTACAGAACTGAAGCACTAGTTACGCATAAAGCGGACAACCCATGCTTTTAAACTAACAATTTTAGGCAGCAAAATTGCCCCCAAAAATCAGTTTATTTTGCCAACAGACATAGCCAACAGACAGAAAGCAGTAAGAAAAAATTGAAAATTCGAAAAAAACATATGGCCTTAAAGCGTTTTGAATTTCAAAAACAGAGCCAATCGAAGATTGGAAAAGAGTAAACAACGCAAGAAAAGATAAAAAAAACACTGATTTCCATGAAAAAATTTCAACTTTCGAATTTCAAAGAAAAAAATAGATGCCCTTTAAGCTCTTTGAAATTCTAGTACAATTTATTATTGGCGCTTTTTTGATAATATGAACCCAACTAGAGAAAACTAGATCAATATGTAAAATTTTTATTCAGCAGGAAATCTAAAAATTAAATTCTACTTTCGAAACTAGAATTCGTTCACGTTTTGTGCGCCATTTCCACGTTCGTATTTGGAGACTGTTATTTAAGTCACTTTCAGCAGATGAATTTCAATTGAACTCAAAAAGTGCACACAATTTCAAGGCTTTTTCATTTAAAAAAAAACAAAAAACTCAGCAAGTCCTATATAAGAGTCTTCAGTACGTTCATTAATCTTAAACTGTCTATGATTGACAGTTTTTTAGTGTAAGAAAACTAGTCATTCGCAAAATGCGTTAAATTGACTGAAAAACTGATTTCTAGAAATAATTTCAATTTTAGTGAACAAGGACCAGTTGCCAATTTGTTTCAGGCTCCACTGTGAAAGAATGAGAGCATGTTCCGGCGAGTTATCATTTCTACAAGAAGAAAAACGGGCAATATTTATTTAGAAGTAAAACTTTTTTGGTACGGGAAGGTGCCAACAGAAGCTAGCCAACATCAGCTCATCCCTTATAAGAATGTTTTTCTTGACAAGGAGAAATTAATATTGACATTTCGAAATCTTGATAGAACAGCAATTGGCAAAGGTTAATCATGATATATGACTCGACCCATCTGACCTTTGTGGTAGCTGATTTTTCGTAAACAAAAAACGACCAAATTGTTTTTCGTGAACAAAAAACAACAACCACAACAAAATTTTTTTATTACGAGGCCAAACTGCATTTTGTGAATTGTAAGCGGATTCCAGAACAAGGACGCTCCCTTTGTTCTTTCATTTTCTTTGATCGTTCCGACTAAAATTTAACATGTTTAAAGACTTGTCTCTGAAATCAAAGCACATACCGACAAAAAATTGTGCGCCTATCCAGTGCAGAGTTTGGCCTCGCAATATTTCTCATTTTTTGGTCGAACATGTAAAAAATAAAGAAGCAACATAATTAGTAATTCTACATTGTGAATTCAACATGAGAAATGACCAAAAAAAATCTTATATCTTAATTCAGTTTTTTTCAGAATTTTATTCATCACAAAAACTGATCACCAAAAAACGATCGCTTCTCCATGCTATACAACACTAATTGTAAAGCAATAAAAATATTAATTTTTCCGAATAACTTTTTGCAAAGAAGGTTCAAAATCATGAAAAAATTTAAGCAGCTTATGAAAAACTGAACAGCTGCTACATGACAGTCATTGCCGGAGCGCATGCAGCATTCGCATACAATCAATCGCATGAAGCCCCTGAAAGCGTTTGTTCGACAAGTTGTCTAGTGGAAAAAGTCTACCACTCGATTTGATTTACTTGCTACCTGCCCGTAAAAAAATTAGCACCTAGAGCCCAAATTTACCTGTAAAATACCTTTAAATATTTCAGTTTCAATTAAATACAAACTATATGCAATTCGTGTTGAACCGATTATCTCTCATCCATGCTTTGCTACATTATATGACATTATACCATTTATTATATACTTTCAATCTGCAATATATTTAATTCTGTTTTCTTACAAAGAGGCAAAGCAACAAATAAGTTTTGGAAAATAAAAAGACCTTGCCGCAACGGGTTTCAATCTCCCGACCTTCAGAGGTAGACTCATACGCTTCCATAACTGCGCCAATCAACATATTTTCAAACACTAGCCACCAATACGGCGGATACAATACATGTTAAATTGCCAAATAGAATTAGAGCAGCATACAGATACTGAAATTCAGCACTAACTTATGCGGTTGAAAAACAAATTGAACTCGAATACTAGAAAACAGGCCACTTTTTTGTCATAGCTTTCTAAAATAGCTTTTCGCTGTCACTTTTTTCAAAAATCGCTTTCGCCTGTTTTTAAAATCGCTTTTCGCTATCGCCTTTTTTTAAAAATCGCTTTACGCTTATCTAAATGCAACGCTTATTCGCTTAATATTTTTCGCACATTTTGCTATAGACGTTTTTTCACGGGAAAAAAATTCAGAACAGATATTGTTCCGACTTTCGAAGAACGCAACGGAACTTTTATCAATGGTTTTTTAGAATAAAAAACTTACTTGCGACAATTTTTGGTGAAACTCTGGGCGTCTGAAACCGCTTTTCAACTTTTGATAATGTTTTTGAAAGTTCGCGACCACTTTCGCTTATAATCCTTAATCGTTGCTTATTACTGCTACAGACAATGCTAGTTTGGTTTTGCCAAAGTAGCGGCTGGAAAAATTTCACGGACTTCTTTTTAGGGCAATTTCAAAAACCTTAGCAAAAAAATCAAATCATCGTCTGCGACATGAACAATTGGCAACGAAATAAATCGCACGGTATTGTTATTTTATTAGTTTTGTATACCTTGGGAGCATCTGGGTTTTCAACCCTCAACTCCTCTTCCCCGTGAGCATAGTCGCAGTTGATTCTGTTGCAGTGTCCAGCTTGCAGGTAGATCTTACATTGAACACACTTCCACTTGGGGTTCTCAGCTATCTTGGCGTCAAAGTCACCTAGGAATACAAGTATCCCTCGTATTCATGGCAAGAACTGTCAATCACAAGAAAGAGTGAAATTGCACTTCGCATACACAAGCAAAAACATGACCGATAACGCTACTGGGAAAAACTGAAAAAGTCTACAAATTTTTGAGTGACGCCCGCCAATTATGACTCTACATAATTGCTAAGTGACGAAAGCCAATAATGACGCATTAGCAGTACCAGTCAGTTTGAAAAAAAAGTCTACCAACAAAAAAGCCTCAATTTATAGAGCGGACGTTAACTAGCATACGAAAAAGTTCATTAAAAACATCCGACCCTGCCCAGGTTCGAACCCTCTTATTTTGTTGCTGGTCTCTTTCCCTACCTCTATTTTAACTAGCATTTTAACCAGCATACGAAAAAGTTCTTTAAAAACATCCAACCCTGCCCAGGTTCGAACCCTCTCATTTTGTTGCTGGTCTCCTTCCCTACCTCTACGCTACAGATTCATAATACCTTGAAGCTAAAGTGATATTTGTAATTTTATAGTGTGTTAATATCCTTAGCATTGGCTGTACTTAATAGCTGGATTAAAATGAACACTTTCAAAATGAACACAGTTTGTCGCAACTGCATCGCAACAATATTTGCGACTTAGATTGGAAAAAAAGAGAGTTCATACTATAACACAAGCTATGCTTGTGTAAAAAATTAACAAAAAATATATCGTTTATAATGCGCGTTGTGATGAGAGAACTAGAAAACAATCTTACAAATTGAGGCATAATCGACTAAAATGTCTTACTTTTTGCATACTTTTTGAATTTCAAAAACCTTTTATTGCCACGGAAACGCTAAATGAAGCTTCAAACATTTCCAGAGGTAAAACTTAATTTAACGCTTAAATAAAGGCTTTTTGTCTTAATACAATTTTTAAAGGCACCTAATCCGTGTCTGGACAATTGTGCCCAAGGCATTTATCTCCCGGACAAAATTGTCCGAAATTCAAAAAGTGTCCAAGACATTTGGTTCCCAGACAAAGTTGTACAAAAATTTTCCACCTAATTGCCACCATAAATAACAACCGGACTACGTCGACAAGATATCAGCAGACAAAAAACAGGACGACAATTTTTTTATGAAACGGAATATTTCCTGTTCTAAAACAAACAGATCCTGGTCAGATTCAAATCCACAGATTTGCCATCCCAATCGTATTCGTTACCTCCAGACTGTGTGCCGGAGACGCTTGGAAACTTGAATTCATTATGAACCAAGATACCAAGTGATTCTGTTTAGCAAGTTGTACCCAAAAAAAGTCTATATTCGATTTGATAACGCTTGCTAATCGCCAGCGTAATTAACTAAGATCAAAATAAAAGAAAAACAAAAAAAATAATTCTGCCAGTTCCACATTATGAACTGGCAGAGGCAGAAAATCTTAAGAACACGGTCAATTCTCATAAAAAAATAATCCAATTAAATCAAATTTACCAAATAAGAATTAGATACGCAACGTTAAAGAGCTGGATCACACCAAAAAAAAGATAACAAAAAAGACCAAAAGTAGAAAAAAGCGGCAAAAGTAGTATCACGTTCTCTCAGTCCTCGTGAAAATAAGTGTCGTCTTAACAGCTGTGATCTCGTTCAAGGGACATCGTTTCAAAAAGCCCTTTATAATACTTACCATCAAACCCAACAGGTCTCAGCTCGAATCTGCCATGTGCGAAAGAACAGTTCTTTCCACTAGGACACACCCCAAGAGAACTGTAGTTGTGACAGAGACTAGTCTTGTACAGGGCTTTGTTCTTCCCTCCCAAGTTGCCTTGAACTTTCAATTCTGCTTCCCCGTGCGCGAACACACAAAATTCACCATTGGGGCAGAATTCATCCTGCTCGTACCTAGAAATAATTAAACTTTTGATGCTTTCAAACCCCATTTTACTATTTCAAAATTTAACCTAATCAAGATCTGAACATCTTAGATCAAACAGAATATTTTGATTAAAAACTGAATTTTAATGAGCTCCAAAACTTCTGTTTCATTTGCACACCGTCAGCCAGATTCGTAGTAAAAAAAGTAAATCTCAGGCACATGGTGAGTAAAATTCTAGTTTCACAAAAAGACGTATCTTGGAACAAGTGAGAATAATCACATTTCATATTCTACTTTGTTTATTGCATGAATAATTTGCATATGAGACCTTAGACACAGCTTTGTCTTGTATTTGGGGTCGTTTGGGTCAGGTGAAGAGACATTTGTGAGTTCCTCCTTGCCATGGGCGAATGTACACGATGAGGCCAGATGACAACTTCCATGTTTCATAAAGTGGATGCACAGCGCCGTCTAAACCAAAATAAATTGAGTAGTAATTATACAGCAAATTATACACGGAATTCACAAAGTGACAAAATGAAAGCTACAGGGTGTTTTCAAAACACGTTTTCATGTATCACATCATGTACTCATCTCTCATTTCACTAATACCTAAGCTGTTGAAACCATTCTTTTCGCAATTGGTGGCTGAGACTCGCCGAATTCTGATGATATGTTTCTTTCCGTAGAATTTCTTTCTATTCACTCATATTTCCGCTGTTAATCGAAATTTCACTGTATTTTGAGCTGAACAAGCAATTACAATGCTGACTTAAAATATCCGCTAAAACGAACAAAACTGAAGTGTTTATCTTACTTTTTTCACATTGGATCGAAATTACAAATAAAAGGATGACGAAAAGTATCTTGGAATTTCAACAGAATCACAATGGTGTATTTTATTTCGCAAAATTACATCTTCAAAACGGGACAATGCAGTGAAAGTTCGATAAACAGCGGGACAATGCAGTGAAAGTTCGATAAACAGCGGGAAAATGCAAGAAACACAAGCAACACAAGGTAATGAAACAAATCATCAAAATTTGGATAATCGCAGCCATAAGTTGCAAAAAGAATGGCCTCGATAACTAAGGTATTAGTAAAATGAGGAATGATACATAAAAAACGTGTTTTGAGAGCACCGTATGTCAACAAAAATTTCAATGCGTTTGTCTCGACAAAGGAAAACGCAGTCGCCAAACAAAATCAGCAGCATTAAATAAGCATTTAGTATCCCTTACTTCAAAAACTTACAAAGCCGAAAATGTTTGAGTAGTCAACTGTTCAGCCGAAAACAGAAAAACGTTATAAAAAAAACTCAGTGAAAAGAAAAATTTGAGCTATTAAGTTTCATATCTCAAAGTTTTTACAAGCCACCTCTCATAGTACATAAAAAATTCACAACGACAAAGTATAGGGTGACTAACAAGATATAATAAAAGCTGAACCATTTACGAGAAGATGCTGATGTTTCATTACAAAGAAAGTTCAATTTCTTATAGATTTATGATAAAACTTATTTAAAGGAAAAAGTTTGGTAACCGATTAATTCTTACTTGGTCTCGCAAATGAATATACTCATGTAACAAGTTGCAAATTACATAAAATTAACAAAGGGCGCAAAGTCTTTTTTTTTTTGGTAATTTCTAATAACTTTATTATCAATTGAAAACTAAGGTTTTCGATCAATTAACTTCTTTTTATTATTGTACCGAGAAAATTTGTTTCCTTTATTGTCTGCTTCGAAAAAACCGTGCAATATTAATACATAAGACCTTGTTGCAGAAGAAACAAATCTGACCACAGGGGCGAATTGGAGCTTCGCATCATTTGCGATACAACGTAAGCGCCGCATTGAAAGCTAGCGAAAAGAAAGACAAAAAAATTCAACTGAAAAAAAAACAGTCGAAAACACAAGCAACAGCATTAAATAAACTTTTAGCGTTTGCTGAGTAGCAACTTCGCCCAAAATACGTAGGTAGATGACTATAGGGCCAAAAAAAAGGGAAAGGGTTGTCAAATAAAAGAAGTTTGAGCGATTCGATTATGAAACTTTTAAACAAAACCGTCCTGGATTTTAGATTAAAATAATATTTGATTTTTGCCATTTAAACAGTAACAATATAACTAAACGAAGGCGAAACATAAGCTTAAGCTAATTAAAACTCGGAAAAAAAATAAATAATACGAACTCAAAATCTGAGTTTGTAAACTGACAGAACAACAGGACTAGTGATGATCGTCGATTAACACCCTGGCTTTCGAAATTAAGCCGTCACAAAAAGCAGACAAATTTCAGTCTGAACATAAGCTGAAAAAAAGCTCTGGCCAGGACTCGAACTCGACACATAAGGATGAGGCAAGCGTGTTACCTCTTGACCACATAGGAAGGAGCCTCATGATACCGCCAGTTCACTTGCGACACAACAAAAACATTGCATTACAACATTGTCACTAAAAAAAACGGATATTTTACATGAAAAGTCGAAATGTTATATTTACCAAAAACTCATACGCTTGTTTCGGATGATGTTCATAAAGAGCTTTAAAAGAGCATTAGTAATCATTTAGCGAGCGACAACTAAGCCGACAAAACTTGGGTCGACAAAAACAAAACTGTTGTCATAAAAACTTGATGGCTTCTTGATATAATCCGAGCAGAGAAACAGGCTGGCGAGGAAGATGCGAAAGAATCAGGACATGACACCAGCTCGCGAGGTAACACGACAAGACATGACACCATCTCGCGAGGTAACACGAAAAAGAGTGGAGAGACGCCCAGTGCCGATAAATTGGAGAAGTTGGAACAAAAACAGAACGCAGACAAGTTCTATGAGAGAACAGAAGAACTGTTCGAGGACTGTCAAAAAGACTGGGACGACATCGTCCAGTTGCTGATGCAAGCGGCAAAGGAAAACTGTGGGCTCCAGGAGAGACAAGCAGCCAACTTTTGGACGATTGGTCACGAAGAAGAACTGAAAGAACTCCACAACTGCATTTCGGGCTTGGTGCAACGCCGCAACAAACTGATGGGAAGAAGATGGACGAAAAGCACAGCCAACGAGGCAGACAACGAGTTAGAAGTGACGAGGGAGCAGCTGAAAATTGAGAGGAATAGGATGAAGAGAAGGCTTCGCCAATTGGAAAGAGAGAGAGGCGGAAAACGATCATCAACCAGTGCGCAACGGCGTCAGAGAAAGGTGACCTGGGTACCGGCTACAGCACGCGCGACAGCAAGCCTCAAACCGGGACCACTTTAACCACGGACGACTTCAAGCATCAGTTTCAGAAGGTGTCCAACAAGCGTTTCGAGACCGAGCCAGGAGAACTTATGAAGGCAGTCAGCGAAATGGGAGAACATAGACAGGAGGAAGTTTTCCATGAGGCAAAAAAAAACCTAAACAAGATATCGACCATCAGAGAGGTTAAAAAAGCCATGAAAGGACGGAGTGCGCATGAAGTACAGAGGTAGAGAAAGCAGTTGTGAATCTGGTCATCTATACGTTCAACCAGAATGGGCCAAGCCTAGCTGATCGACGGCTGACGCGAGCCAGATCATCATGCGCATTCAAGAAGACGTGAAGGATTTGGTGAAGCGACACAGAAGAGTGAACGAGCCGAGCGACAAGGACCCTGAGGCACGCCTACTGGATCTGACAATGGCCTAACCGAGCGTGAATAGGCCGGCTTTGTGGGAGATGTTGAGACTATATGATTTTAAAGGCGCTTTCCTGGAGAGCGTAATGGATCTTCACGAGTCGAGGTTTGAGAGAGGGTTGCCTGTCGTAACTGTGCCTGTTCGACATTTACCACCAAGTTATCATGCATGTTGCGGAGAGAGCTAGAGATGTGAAGGCGAAGGAGAAGGATATAACTGAGGGAGTTAGATGGCGATGGATACCAGGGAGCAAATTACCGAGCCTGGACAAAGTCGACAACTACAATAGCGAAGGATCCACTTTAGTTTTTCCCTATCTTTTTTCGCGGACGACACGACCCCCGTTAGTGACACTGAAGAACGGGAATATTGCGTGAGAGCGATGGAAATCGTGACGGAAACCTTCAAGAACGAAAGCAAGGAGAAGAGGCTAGAGTTTGGCGGAGAGGACTCGGCCGAGGATGTTAGAAGTGTGGTGTGGACCGAAGAGATCTGAATAAGCAGAAAGAAGAGAGCAGGAAAGTTGTGGGCAAGAGTGAAAGCGCGGCTTAAGAACACCCGGATCACAAAGAAACAACAAGCAAGAGTGGTGGAAGCTTGTGTGGAGAGCGTGCTCCTGTTTGACGTGGCCGTCAGAGCTTGGTACGCCTCAGACATCAAGAACCTGCAATCCTGGGTGGACAAGTGCTATCGGTATATCTGGAGCAACAACAGACAACCGACACAGTTGGAAATGCAAGAGAAAGGAAAGAACATGCAGGATAAGAGGAACAAGCTGGGCGTGAAGTCTCAACAATGGAAGATCGAGAAGACAACACTCCAACGCATTGGCCACATACTGCGCATGAGCAACGACAGCCTGGCGAAAGCAACAGTTTTGGGTGACTGCAGAAGTTGGACGGAAGACCGAAATGCCCCGGAAAGAAGAGGCAAACGGTACTTTAGTTAAAGAAGATCCTAAAAAAAAGCAGGCATAGTTGACGAGTGCAGACGAATTGGCAGCCGATAAAAAGACCTGGCGGAAGAAAATAAATGAGAGGATGGAACACCTGATGTGAGGAAGCGGGCCCTAGAAAGGCCTCCCCAACTGCAGAAACTTCGACAACGTGCGCCCAGTGTGACAAACAGTGTAAGAGCAAAGCCGGCCAAAGAATTCACGTGAAACGTATGCATGAAGACCCACCACCTTTGAGTGCATGAAATGCAAAGCCACTTTCAACACCGAGCACACGAAAACATATGCCAGAAACCATAAAACCCGGAAGGGGTTCATAAAATACAACAACCACCAGAAAGAGCTTAGCAATTCAAACGCCACGCGCCACAGAAGAACAGACAAACATGGAAGCAGCAAGAAACTATAGGACCAGAACCAAGATCTGCCCAGACTGGACTGTCAAAACTTGCAACGAATATTCCAGACACAGAAGGACGTGCAATCCGGAATCCTTTGAGTATACCCTTTGACCCAGGCGTTAATGCATAGAAGAAGAAGATATATTCAGAGATCAAAATTGAAGCAAAACTTTTCCACAATTCATGTTTTATTAACTTGAAAATTTCAAATTCGAACCTCAGACATGGAAACCTTAAGCAAGGCTAGTGGCATGCCATACCCAATTGAAAAGATAAAATTTCTATTTTATGAACGCTTTTTTGATTTCATTATCTTGGTACTCGACAGCAAAAATCATCATCCGTTTTACTTTGCTATGACAGCGCCAATTATTGAATCATCAAGTAAAACGAGTGTGACACTGAAAATGCGCTCAGCCATGAGCCAGCCGGAAGTTATGTCAGTGAATGAAATTTGCAAGACTTTCGTAACTGTAACAACTATTATGAAACAGTTAAGCATTTTCTTGGCTGGTATATACTTTGGGTCGTTTATATACTAAAAAAGAAACAATCGCTGTGTAAAAATTTTCGGATAAACATGAGCAAAGAACTAACTTTATAGGTCCCTTTCTTGATCTCAGGTATATTCTTTGAAGACGTGTTTCCAACCAATCTACTCGACATGGGTTCCTTCAGGGTATCATGGTGTTCTGCAATTGAAGGCATGATGTCATCAGTTCGAATTTCAGTTTCACCATGAGCCAGCAGACAGTCATTTCCCATTTGACAAATTCCTCCTTGTTCAAAAGCAGTGCATAGCTGCGACTTGTAAATCTGATTCTCAAAAGACCTCAGTTCTCGGAGTCCATGCGCAAAGGTGCAATCCGATCCAGCAGGACAATTTCCCTTTAAGAAGTTGTTGCAGAGTTTTTTCTTGTACGGAGTCTGCGCCAGGAAATCGTTATTCATACTTGATGTTTAATAATAATAGTCTATATGTATTAATAGTCTATTATTAATAATACAATTATCTGAATAACAAGACGTCTGCAATCTAGCTTTACGCTGACACTTTTTGGTATTTCATTTCAAACAAAACAGCGTGAAAATAAGCAATATCAGAAACGCTATATGGACACAGAGTGTGATAACGATTAGTTCAAGTTTTCAGATTATGTGCTCAAAGCAATTAAGTAATATGAAATAATCAAAATAAAATGCGATAAATTTACTGCTGGAATAAAGACGACACATTAAGACTCAACAACAAGAATAGAAACCAGTATATAAATAAAGTTTTAACAATGAAAAATTTTGCGACTTGATGAAAAATTGGGTAAAAATAACTGGTGATATATACAAATCTTTTAACGAAAAGGAAACTCGCGCCTTCTTTTTGTCTGCGTACGTACATACTGGATTATATTGAATTTCAAAAAAAAAACACTTTAATTGCGCATCGAAATTAATTTCAATACACAAGTGTATGTCAAATGTTTTCTGTTTTTTTTTCTATCAATTAATAAAAATAATATAACATCATTAGATACGCATAGTTACAATAACAATGAACAAAACAAAATCTATTACAATTATCGATGATTACTTTTCACCTGAGAGCTTCAAGGTGGTTTATATATAAATATTATTATTATATAAACTTGAAGCTTTTCGATGAAACTTTACCATGAGTTGCCACAGAGGTGTCTTCATTAAATAATAATAAATAATAATTCTTGAATTTTATCTTTGCTTTTCTGTATGTTAGTATGTCTCTAAAGTTGACTTTATCATCTGTTAGTTTGTTCCGGATTATGACGGACTTTTTAAAGAAGGAATTTTCTATGTATTGCCATTGTATCTGTCGCCTAAATATATTTTATTGTTTCTTGTATTAATATCTATTTGGTGGTTATCATACTCAATGTTATAGGCTGGCAATAATTGATATTGTATTTTCCAAAAGTGACATAATATTTTATAGTCCAGAAACATTGTTACTGGCAATATATTGTGTTTAAGCTTCAAGTCTGAAGATGAGTCGTATTTTGCACGATCGCAGCAAAATTTAACTGCCCAGCTTAACTGTTTTCCAGAGATATCATTAGGTTAGCGGATATTCAACTTAAAAGAATTGCTGGGTAATGCAAATGACTAATTACCAGTGCATGCATTATCAAGAGTCTTGTTTTTTACTGGCAATGGCTTTTTGATTGATTGATGTGTTTTTATTCCGCATGCAATTTTCCTGAGAATATTTTTGATTTCATCTTGGAATGTGAGAGACTGATCTAAAACTACTCCTAGGTGTTTAACATTGGTTTTTTCCTCAATTAATTTATCATCTAGAGTTATTGTATACTTTTCATCCTTTTCCTTGAATAGTTTTTGCTGAGTTCTGTTTTTTTTTGCATTCAACTGAATTGAGTGTTCTAAAAAACAAATTGACAACAGACTGCAATTGGCTTTGAATGCTTTAAGAGCTCTTTGTGGATCGTTATTTTCACAGAATAGTAATGTATCATCCGCATATTGAACTATTTTACATGTTTTGTCAAATTGTTTGTTGAGATCGTTAATGTAGAGATTGAATATTAGAGGGCCAAGGACAGTGCCCTGTGGTACACCCTGCTCAAGTGCAATCCAATCGGACTCGGTGTTGCTAACAATTGTTTTCTGGCTTCGGTTGGTGATAAAGGGATTGATCATTTCTATAGCTTCTTCAGAAAAGTTTAACCCTTTTAAGCCAAAAAAAAGCCAAAATAGAGATTTCTACTATCAATATCAAACGTGACTTGATGGAGGTGAATTTAGAGGAAGACGAAGTTATTGTTTCTCTCGACGTCAAGAGCCTATATACCAACGTCCCTGTCCTAGAGTCGATCGAGTTAGCAGCGGATATTCTCTATAATTCGGAGGAGCTTCCTCCTGTTGATAAAGAAACTTTTAAAGATCTCATGAAAATGGCGGTTACAGACGTTTATTTTATGTGTGATGGCAGATGGTATATCCAAACTGATGGGGTAGCGATGGGTTCTTCTTTAGCAGTCATTCTTGCCAATATCTGGATGAAAATTTCGATGACAGAATCAGCAGACAACCTGATAACTTCAACAGCAATGGTTCACAAGACAGCTATCCCTGTGGCAAGTGCATGTTGGAGGTCCTGGATGAAGATTTTTCTATTTGCTGTGACGACTGTGACCGATGGTTTCATCTTAAATGCACCAATTTAACCATCCGCCAGCTCAAAGGTATGGATGATAATTATTGGAATTGTGGTTGCGGTGCAGTATGGTCTAGACCTAAAGCAAAAATTTTTGGTAGGTACGTAGTTGACATCCTGCGTTCGGTCATGGTTGCTGAAATTGATCGCCTGTTACCATATGTGAATACGCTACATCAAAACCTGGATTTCACAATAGAATTACAGCTCAATGGGACGCTTCCTTTTCTCGATATGCTTATTAGACAGTCCGGCCGTACTATCAGCACAGAATGGTACAGCAAACCTAAGGACACTGGACTCACCCTTGTGTTTCACGCCTGTGCGCCAACAAAATACAAGAGAAACATTGTTCAGGGCACCGTGCATAGAATTGATCACTCCACTTCCACTTGGGAGGCTTTTGATAAAGGTTTGAGGAAAGCAAAAAATGATTGGGAAGCAAATCAGTTTTCTCCGGCTTTTTATCAAACCATAGTGACAGATTCTCTTCTTAAAATCAAGAAAAACCTGGACACAATCACACAAGCAACAACCAATTCAATAAAGCCTGAACGTATCGAGAAACCAGTTATCCTGCTCCAGTATCGAGAAAAAGTGTCTGATATTTTCGCAAAAAGGCTGCAAAACTGTGGTATTTCTACAATATTCACGACCCGTAAACTCAGAACCTGTTTTCATACTTTGAAAACAAATTTCCCTAGGTATTTGACGAGTAGGGTGGTTTATGAGATATCTTGCGCAGGATGCAATTCCTGCTATGTTGGACAGACCATCCGACACCTGATCACCCGAAAAATTGACCACCTTAGAGATTCTGTCCGGGTGGGTAATCATTTAAAGGAATGCGGAGCAGACAAGGCTGCAGTTGAGGCGAGAATTTTGGACAGATGTTTAGACACGAATAAATTTTTGACCTTAAAAGCGCTTTAAATTTCGATAGGAGACCTGCCCTCAACACGCGCGACGAATACCGGCAGCGGTACCTCACAGTCAAGTTGTGAGGTTTTTTAAGTCCGTTTGTTTTAGTCACATGACTAACTCGGTTCTTAATTGATGCTATTTTTATATTCTTTTTAATGTTAGTTTTTATATATTTTTTTGAAATTTCTACATATCCATATCCATTCCGGTTTTACAGGTGCTTTGTTTTTTAGATTAGCTGATGATGACTTTTATGTCAAAAACGTTTCTGGAATTTAATTTACATTGATCTGCCGTTTTTACCACATTAACCCTTTTAGTTTCTGTTTAAGATAAGTATGATCAATAGAATCAAATGCTTTAGAGAGATCCAGTAAGGAACATGCTTCAGTTTTGTTGTTGTCTACTGCTTTTGTGAATGCTTCAGTGCAATAAAGATTAGCGTCAATTGTTGAATATGATGTTCTGAACCCAAATTGGGTCTTACTTAGTACTTTTTGGAATATCAGATGTTCGTTGATTTGTTTATATAACAATTTTTCAAAAACTTTTGAGAGAGCTACAGTTATAGAGATAGGCCTATAATTTTCTGGTAGTTCTGGATCTTCTCTTTTGTATATTGGTGTGACAGTTGCTTTTTTGAGCTTGCAAGGATATGTCTTGTTTTTCAAAAATTCATTGTATAGAAATGTCAGATGTGTGTATATTTCATTGCAGCCATCCTTCAATGCCCAGGCTGGATTTTTGGATGGACCTGGTGCCTTTCGACAATTTAAACTATGTAATTTTTTTTACATTCAGCTGATGTGATGAATCGGAATGAAAATTTATTATTTTTTCGAATGTTGCATGTAGAAGTCGGTGGAATTTGCCTGATTTTTGAATTTTTCTCATAAAAGTATCCAAGAGTTGAGAACTTGTAATTTAGCAGGTTCGACATCTGTAAATTATTGGTTATGAAATCGCCGAAAGAGTTTCTGAGTAATGGAATGAGGTTGGAAGATTTTTTTGAGTTTCTTGTATCGTTAATTATACTCCATTTTTTGCGTTCGCTTTTTTTCGAGTTAAACAGTTGGGATATAAAATTATCATCTTCGTAGTTTACCTTTGGTTTGTCGTTGCGAATGAAAATAGTCTTCTGTGGGGCAAATTTTTTAATGGTGTCAGCAATGTTAGATGTGAAGATGTCGAGCATTATTTCGGGATTGTTATTGCTATAGAAACTTCTCCAATTTATAGCTGATAGTTTTAGTTTGAATTTGTAATTGGAGTAATTGGATTTGTCATATATTTTACGTTTGATTGGTCCTACCTTGTTGTTCAGCTTAAGTTCTGTAATGAATGCTGTTGCTTGGTGGTCGGTCTTAATTGGTGGTGTGAATACTATTGAAATATTTGTTAGATCTTTTGTGCCTAGGTCGGTGATAATATAGTCAATTAGTGCTTCTGAGTGAGTAGGTGTTAATTTGCTAAGGACGTCCAGATTATATGGTATTAGGATTGTATCTAAAGACTGTTTGTCGTCTTCGTTGAGATAGTTGAGATTGTAATCTCCTAGTAAAATTTGGTTTGAATTAAATGACTGTGCATGGTCAATTGATTTGGCTAGATCTTCTAAGAAGTTTGTTTTTTTTTGTTTCTGTTAGGATTGTAGGCTAGGTTTAACAGAGTGGTTCTATCATTTCTGTTGAGTCCGGCCTTAAATTCTTTGCAGATGCTATCATACTTTTTGTGCATGTTGTTTAAGTCATGTCTTATCTTTGGGTTTAACTTTTTAGGAACCAGTAACATGACCCCTCCTCCCTTCAATTTTTTACTTGATTCATAAGTTCTGGAACAACTTATAAGTTCTGGAACAACTTCAATTAGTAGTAGTATTTCAATGTTTATTCTACGCTTAAACTATGCTATC